TCTCTCTTTTCACCAACCTCTACCTGAAAACCAGCACTTCTCCAGTCTCGAACGTCAACAACAACCGACGGTGACGTTAGGGGTGCCCAGGACTGGTCGACGACAGAAACTGCTCGTCCATAACACCACTGTTGCAGACATCTGCAAATAGCACTAATGCTCATCACAAATGCAGTTACAGTAGCCATGAGACCAGCGGTTGGCCGTTATTGTTTAAAGTCTTAACAGAAAAGCACACATATTCCAATATCATAAATTTGAAAAGTATCTAAGAACTGAATCTGAAGAGAACTGGCTTCCCTTATAACCCCATGAATTTTGTTTTAGAAAAGGAAGAGCCTTGTTCTGAGAAGGGGTCCCTAGGCTTCGCCCAATAGCCCAGGGGCTCACAAGCCACGGTAAGGAGTTTGACTTTTATTCCGGGCGGGACAGAGAGCTGCCGTTTCAACGGGTTTCGAGGGCTACAGTTTCCGTGTTTCAAAGTCCCCCTGGCTGCAGGGCCTGTGGTTGTGTGGGCCAATGTCAAGGGCAGGAGAGGGCGTGGCCTTCCCTGACCACTGTCCTAGGCCGTCGGGAGGGGGCAGCATCCCCGGGTCTCGTGCTCTTCCCTCTGATCAGAAGCCTGCCCACCACCCCACCTCACGCTAACCTCTGGGTCCAGAGGAACCCTGTCCCTTGGCCCGAACCCCACCCCCCGCAGGGCATCCTCCCAAACAGCTTCAGAAAGTGAGCTCATGTGTCCACAAGAAAAATAAATGCGGCATTTGCCCCTGTTTGGTTTGTATATTCGTCTAGAAAAGAAATGAGATTTTTATTTTAGAAAAGTCTTCCAGCAGGACCCCAGCAGAGGCCAGGCAAATACCAGGGGGACGGACCGTGACCGCTCAGGGAGGCTCAGGCACCGGGACCCACTGCCACGAGCAGCAGCCCCGCCGTTTACGGCTGCCTTCCTGTTTTCCCCGGGCCTCTCTTCACACTGCTCTCTCACACACAGAGTCTTTTCAATGCCCTCCAGGAGAACAGAAGAATCCATTTTCACACACCGGCACGCACGTTTCTCCCACCCTCCCCGGGGAGTGGGCCCTGCCAAGAGGCCTGTTTATGGACATACGGGGACAGATGGGGATGGGGCCCATGGGGTGGGGTCCTCAGACCAAGACAAGCTGAGAGCTGAATCCTATGTTCCCAGATGCCCCAAACAGGAAGTGAGAGCAGGGCCAGGCCAACTGGGAGCTGAGGGACATTTGTGGTACTTCTCGGCAATGCCTGCGAGCCTCGTGGAGGGACAGGGATGCAGTGTGGGGTGTGGAGGGTCTGGCTTTGGAAGGAGGGGGCTGGAAGGGGCAGGGCTGGTTCACCTCGAAGGATCAGAACAGTCAGAGAGAAACAGAGAGGAAGCATGCACTTGGTCTTTGGAACCAGGTTAACTGAGCAGCAGAAAGGGAAACAGAGGCACCCACGTCGCTGGTGAGGACCAGCGCGGAAGAGTGACCGCCGTTTCCAACCGCTGCCTGTTCAGCTCGGAGCCCCTTTCCCAGGGCTCTGGTTAGAAAGAACAGGCTGGGTTTTGTTTTTCTTGGGAGGGGGTTCGTTTTTATCTGTACCCATTGGCATTTCTGGATTGTGAGTCTCTCCAGCACCCGGTCCCTGGGAATAAGGGAGGCAGAAAAGAGAACCCAGGAGCTTGCTGGCATGTCATTCCTCACATTCCCGGGTCCCCAGCCAGTCTGCCTTCATCTCTCCACTTTTCACAACTTTCCTCTCTTTGTTTCATACATAATGCCCAGAGCTTTTGCCTGTCCTTGGTGGGAGGGTAGGGGACAGTGCGTCTACTCCATCATGTCTGGAACTGAAGTCCTACATTTCATATTATGTTTTATATATATATATTTTTAAGATTTATTTATTTATTTGGGAGAGAGAGAGAGCGAGCGAGCACACAGAGGCAGAGGGAGAAGAAGGCTCCCTGCTGAGCAGGGCGCCTAACTCGGGGCTCAATCCCAGGACCCTGAGATCATGACCTGAGCTGAAGGCAGACGCTTAACTGACTGAGACACCCAGATGCCCCTATGTTTTATATTTTTAAGAAACACATGAATCAAATACAGCAGAATACTCCAATTTCTTTAACCTGTCTGGCAGTTACAGGAAAGCCCTTACAGGGCTTTCAATACTCTTCCATTTATTGGAAACACTGTATAAATTCAGTGCTACTCACACCCCTTCATTCTTTGCTCATTCATCCACCCAACCTCTGTTGTGCACCTTCAGGCACCAGCTACACAGTGGTGAATTGAAAAGATCCTTCCTGAAGAGCCTTTCGCACTTGGGGTGACCAGACAGCAAACAACAGTTGAGGCAGGGTGCTCCCACAGAAGAGGATGGTGTGCTCTGAAAGATCCTCACCAGGGGCCTAAGTCAAATTCTCTGAGGAAGTAGTTGTGGGGCCTGACTGTGCCCCCAGGGCATGCCTGGTATCACCACCTGTGGGCAGTCTACCCAAAGGCAGAGAGGCAAACAGCTTCCCAAGAACAAGCTTCATGGGCAAGGCTCCTCCCAAGCAAGCTGGCTCTCCCACAATTACCCCACCTCTCTACACAGCTCCCCAGTTCGGGGCGGGGGGGTCTTTCCTCCTATTTCAAGCTCTCTCCTCCAAATCAGCACCCCAAAAAAGTCTCTTGCATCAATTGTTTGGCTGTAAGCATGAGTGGGAGCCATTCCCTGGGCCCGTTGAGGAAAACCGGGCTCAGGACCCGGAACAGGCATTCTGGTCTCCAGTGAACTTGCTTACCCTGGACCAGAGAGGGCTTGTCTCCCCAGGGTGTACGACAACATGGTAACTGAGGTCCCCAACCCTAGGCCCTATTCTCTCCAAGTTTTTTTTTTTTTTTTTAAAGATTTTATTTATTTGACAGAGAGAGACACAGCGAGAGAGGGAACAACAAGCAGGGGGAGTGGGAGAGGGAGAAAGCAGGCTTCCCACGGAGCAGGGAGCCCGATGCGGGGCTCGATCCCAGGACCCCGGGATCATGACCTAAGCCAAAGGCAGACGCTTAACGACTGAGCCACCCAGGCGCCCCTCTCCAAGTTTAAATTAGCATGAAGAATAAAATGGCCCCAGGGAAATAATGGCCAGACTCCAGAGAGGCTCTTCCTCCCTTCTCTCTGAAAGCCACCTGGAGTTTAGCTTGGCAAAACGCTCCCAGGCCCAGGAGATGTGCCCATCTTCTCTCCCACCCTGCCCCAGGTGACCCCAGCATCAAGGGTGACTGCAGCACGCCCAGCACGGGAAGGGCCCAGCAGAGTGGTGGCTATTGGGCATTTCAGAAAGAAAGCTGGAGTGCTAAGGGGAGGGTGTCCTGGGCTCCTGAGGAGGGCTCCAGTGAAGCCCCATTTACACACATGGTCTCATTTGACTGGGTTCATGATCACTTCTTTCACCTGAGGAAACGGAAGGTCACTAAGATTAAGTGACTCATCAGGTGGGATCTGAACCCAAGTCTGTCTGAATCCATTGACCCTGATCCCTTAGGCCAGCTCCATTCGCTCCAAGAACACGGTGGGGGATCTGATCTGAGTTGTTAAGGTGAACAGTGGATCCTGAGGACATTTCCCCATGCTTTAGCACCCTACCTGCTTCACCTGCTCATATCTGCCTTCATGGGGTGCAGGTAGCTTCCTTTCATTTCATAAACACTAATTAAGGGAGCTCCATGGTGGGCATGTGGGGCACACAGAGCAAACAGTTGTCACCTGCTATCACAGCAAAGCAGAAGAATCTGGAGGGTGGGTCAAGCGGCCAGGACTGAGCAGGGTTAGGATGCCATGTAAGTCCTGCCCGGCCTGGGAAACTGGTGGAGGCCAGGCCACCTAGAAAAGCCATTCAGAAAACCTAAGTGATCGTGAGTGGCCTCACATTACATTTCATGGCAGGCATTGGGCAGTTCACCCACAGCCCCAGGCAGAAGTCCCAAGGGCAGCTAGGCTCACAGAGTTCTGGGTGACAAGGCCACCCTATGTCCAGTGCTCAACGGATCTCGGTGTACTAAGAAGTGGTTAACACATCCATGCCCTCCAATAGTCAGGAACAGATAAGAAGCCTTCATATGGCAAGGGGCGTATAAAGAGCTCACAGGAGAGAAGGGCCAGGGCCCCCAACCAGTATGGAGGAGCCTCATCATGTCCACCCCCTCCCTGGGAGCCTTGTGTCCTCAATTGGTGAGTTTGGCTGTGCCGGACCCATGAGAAACAAGGCCCCTCTGCTGTGGGAGGTGCTTGGCTGAGTGGGTACCCAATAAAGAGGACTGGGCTGTCCCACTGAACAGGGTGGCCCCTCCATGAGCATCAGCATCCTCAGCAAGAGGAAAGGAAACCCAGACATTCACCCCACCCTCAGCTCCCAAAGCCTGCTTGCTGAGGGCAGAGCCCACAGGCTCCGGGCAAGAAGGGTGAGAGCTGTGAGGGGTGCTCAGTGCCAGGCCTGGCCCACCTCCACCACCCTCCCACAAGCTGTGCAACTTCGGGCCACTTACAGATCCTCACATCTGAAAGATGGAGGAAAAAAACCCAGTACTTGCCTCCAAGGGTAATTGGGAGATAATCCTGCCCAGCGCACACCAAATATTCAATGACTGTTAGTTTCCTATTTGGGGGGGGGGGTTGGGGGGAAGGGGAAAGGGAGAGGGAGAGAAAGAATCCTAAGCAGGCTCCATGCCTAGCGAAGAGCCCAACTCGGGGCTTGAACCCACAACCCTGAGATCGCAACCTGAGACGAAATCAAGAGTCGGACGCTTAGCCAGCTGAGCCACCCAGGCGCCCCTGTTAGTTTCATCTTTATGTCAATTAGCAAGGATGTCAGCCTGGAGCTCCTATCTGGAATCACTCTGCTCCATTAACGGGTTCGTATTTGACTCACTGTATAAACAGTTTGTTGGTCAACGGGCTCCCCGCTCCTCTCCCAGCCCCTTCCCCGCACCCCCTCCAGGCAGAGGACAGCTTACCTATGGTCCTTCGGAGGTCTTCACACTGGCTAATGTGAGGAAACTTCAGGATTTCCTTCCACTTCTTGCTTTTCCCCTTGCGCTTTCCTCCACCCCCTGCAGAAATGGGGGGAAAAGATGTTGGGCTGATGTTGGTCTTGTCCAAGGCTCCAGAGCCTGGTTCCCATCCCAGTGAGTCTGTCCACCAGCTTCGGGGGCTGGGAGACAGCCAGGGGGCTTAAGGTCAAGTCAGTGACACACCCCAGACCCCAGCAAGCACACACACCCCCTGCTGGCCAGCATCAAGCCTGTGTGTTCTCCCCGCACAGTCGGGCCTGGGCCCCTCCACCAGCAGGAGCAGACGAGCCCCTCCAGTCAGCCAGGCCGGAGCCCACATCCAGTGCCCTGTTCTTTGTCGACATCTCCCACCGCTGTTCAGACCTGCTGGGTGCCCAGCCTCTGGGCCCAGACTAGACCCCAGCCTTCCCATGGCAGGGGCCAGGTCGGCTGGACTTAATATTGCCTTCGGGCTCAGGAAATCCTCACAGAATGGATCCACAAGTGAGCGGACTACAGCCCCCTCATTGCCTCTTTGGTCCTCTTGTTTTCTGTGGAGAGTCCCCTTCCCCAACTGGAGGCCAGATGCCAGGAGCAGGGACTTCAATTTCCACTCGGCTCCTGTACCCCCTTCTTCCCCCTCCTCGCAAACCCCACGGTCACAGAGGCTGCATTCCCAAGGCTGGAAGGACTCCAGAAGGGCCCCATCCTGCCTCACGTCCTCCCTGGTGTGCACGTATGATGAGCATGCACACGCTAGGGACATGCATGTGTAATGCATAGGCACCCATGATGAACACACGTGCAGTGAAGATGCACACATGCTGACCCCACACACATGACGACTATGCAGTGAACACACGGAGCCGAAGAAGGTACACACACGGGGCATTCCCATCACCCACGCTACTCCTTCTCCGTGGGACAGTGGACAGATGGCAGAACGCTCAGGTGTGCAAACAGCAAGGGGAAGCGCCCACTCTCACCCGTGTCTCTGAGCCCACCAGTGCTTGGGCCTCAGGCCCGGAGGCCCCCCTGTGTCGTGCCAGGACTCTCAAGGGACTGAGATGCCATCACCCACCCCCCACCCCCAGAGTGGCCTCAGATACCATCTTGCTAAAGGTCACATAGCCCTTTAGACCCCTCAGTATCTTGGGATATTAAGGGCCTTTTACTTTCCTTCACACAGTCAACACCTCAACCCCTGTGGAGTTTGGGGCCCAGTGAGAGAAGTAGGATCTGGGACAGAGCTTGGGCACCCTGGGCCTGCTCCCTGCTCTGGGTGGGTGTGCAGTGCCTCCAGTCTCTAACCCTCCCAGAGCAGGCCTGGGCCCCTGTCTCCAACCAGCAAACCGAGGGATGCAGGAGGAGCTTAGCTTGTACCCACCTTGGACCAGTGTGTGCCCCGGGGCTGGCAGGGAGCTGGTCTCCATGAGTGAGGATTCCTCACTGTCAGCCCGGCTGCCCGGGGCAGCTGAGGCCAGGTTCCCCATCAGTGAGTTGGGTTAGCTTCTGAGGCCAGGACCAGGACCCCCCACCCTGGGGGCTGGGAAGTAGGAGAGGGAGCTGGGGTGGGGGGTCCTTTCTCTGCTCTCTGCTCATTCTGTCTTCCTTCCTTTCCAATCTCTGCAGAAGGCAAAGGCCTCAGACTCCAAGGGGCAGAACGAGTGTGCACTGGGCACTTGCTGTGGCCAGGTATGATTTGAACATTATCTTGTTTAATCCTCAGAATGACTCGGGCGCCTGGGTGGCTCAGTCGTTAAGCGTCTGCCTTCGGCTCAGGTCATGATCCCAGGGTCCTGGGATTGAGTCCCACATCGGGCTCCCTGCTCGGCGGGAAGCCTGCTTCTCCCTCTCCCACTCCCCCTGCTTGTATTCCTGCTCTCGCTGTCTCTCTCTGTCAAATAAATAAATAAAATCTTAAAAAAAAAAAAAAATCCTCAGAATGACTCTTTGAGGAACAGATCACTGGACCAACATCACAGATGAAAAAACAAATGTCCAAAGTTGAGCAACTCGTCAGCTGATGGCCTGTCCGACTAGACTCATGGGCTCTTTCCTCTAGCTGGGGTCAACACACATGGGCACACACAGCAGAGCTCTTCCCCGGGCCCTTCCCTGGGCCAAGCCACTCACGTGCACTCTCTGGAGCCCTTACTGTAAGTCTACAAGGCAGAACTATGTCTATTCCCCCTTGACAGATAAGGAAACAGAGGCATGGAAGAAAGAAGAAAGTGGCCTTTAATGGCTCATTAATGGCAGAGCCAAGACCCCAGCTTGAGTGGAATCCAGACCCTAGGCCTGCACCCTCACCCTTCTGTGTGTAGACTTTCCTTTGGGGTGCTTCAAAAGCCAGGGAAATTCTCAAAAAAAAAATGGTGTCCGGCCACAGAAGTGATGGAGTGTTGAGTAAGAGGAGCAGGAATGGGGATCTCTCTAGATGGGGCCCCAGTCTACAAGCTCTGAGAAAAGAAGCCACCCCAGATGCCTGGGGACTTGTTATGCTTGACCCATACGTGGCTTGTTTGCTTGTTCACTGAACTAGGTGTCAAGATCTGAAACCACAAGGAGACTTGCCATGCAAATCCAGATTTCAGACTTTTCTCCATAACCAGGCATCCCACGTGGCAAGAACTGGCTGGAGATGGGGAGCAGCCACTCCCATGGACAGGCCACGTGGCCTCCATGCAGGCAGCCTGCCTGGCCTCCAGAGGGATTGAAATACGCACCCCCCAGGAAAGGGCTGCCCTCTAGAGACATCAGCAATTCAGATGCTACCGTCTCAGCCTCCACCAGGCTGGGAGGTCAAGAGTGGCCATCAGAACCCATCTAAGTCCTTGTCCCCTCCCATTCCCACACTATTTGTTCCCAGATCTGGCTAGAAGAAAGCACGTGTGTGTGTGTGTGTGTGTGTGTGTAAGATAAAACATACATAACATGAAATTTACCATATTACCCATTATTAGGTATACAGTCCAGTGCATTGAGTATATTCATGTTGTTGTACAACCATCACCACCATCCACCTCCAGAACTTTTTCATCACCCCAAACTGGAATTCTGCACCTAGCAAACACTAACTCCCTCTTCCCCCAGCTCCTGGCAGCCAACACTCTACTTGCTGTCTCCATGAATTTCACTACTGTAGGGACCTCCAATAAGCGAAATCGTACAATATGTATGATTATTGCACTTACATAATGTCCTCAAGGTTCATTCTTATGGCAGCATCTGTCAGATTTCATTCCATTTTTAAGACCAAATAATATTCCACTGTGTGTAGGTACCATGTTTGGTTTATCCATTCATCTCTGGATGGACACTTGGGTCGTTCCCACCGCTTAACTTTTGTGATCAATGCTGCTATGGATATCTGAGTCCCTGCTTTCAATTCTTTGGGGTCTATGCCCAGGAGGGGAATCGCTGGATCACACAGTAGTTCTATCTTTCTATGGAACTGATGAAACCTTCTTGACAATATGGACTACCAGGCTGTACCCCAACTGTCTGCAATCAAAACCCAGGGATGTGACTTTTGAAAAGGCTCCCCAGGTGATTCTCAGGTGGCCAATCTATGGAAATTAGGGGTCTACTTTACACATGTACACACGTGTGTGTGTGTGTGCATACTTTTTATGGATTAATTTATCCATTAGGAAAATTAACACAGACTCATTAATTCACTCAACCAATATATGTTGAGCATCTACTAAATGCCAAGCTCTATGCAGGTGCTGGGGACACAGTGGCAGGCAAGAGACACAGGGTGTCGCCATTTGGGGGCTTCTAATCTAGCAAGGAAGACAGACATTAAAGACTTTATTTCAGTGGTTCTCAACCGAGGCGATTTGTCCTCTGAGGGCCATTTGGCAATGTCTAGAGAGAGTTTTGGTTGTCACAGCTGGGCTGGGGGTGCTACTGGCCATGAGTAGGCACAGGCCAGGGATGTGGTTACACACTGCACAATGCATGGGACAGGGCCCGACAACACAGAGCAATCTGATCCAAAATGTCAATAGTGCTGAGGAGGAGAAACACTGCTCTATTAAACAAGCATTTTGACCCCTCAGAAGTGCAGGGTTTGGGGGAGACGTTAGTAATGGGGCAATGTGTTGTTGAAGTTGGAGTTAGGAAGGAAGGGAGAGGGTCTCACACAGCCACCCAGGGGGCTGCCCCAGGGCAAGAAGGCAGACTTCCCAACCCACATGGGGCTCCTTGCCTCCTATTCCTTACCTCCTCAGCCCCCGGAACAGGGCAGGGACTGGGGTAGACTCCCCAAAGTGTCCATGTCCTACTCCCTGACGCCTGTGGATGTGTGGATACGTGACAAAGGGGAATGAATACTGCAGATGGAAGTAAGGATAACAGCAGGGACATTACCCCAGATGGTCTCGGTGGTGCTAATGTAACCATTAGGGTCCTTACAAGAGGGAGCAGAAGAGTCAGTTTAGAGTGATGCTGGGTGAGAAAGACCAGCCACTGCTGTCTTTGAAGATGGAAGGGGCCACGAGAAAGCGGGCAGCCTCTAGAAACCAGAAAAGGCAAGAAAACAGATTCTCCTTGGGAGCCTCCAGAAAGAACGGAGTCCTGCCAACACCCTAGTTTTAACCCAGTGAGACCCATGTCCGACTTCTGTAACTCAATAATTTGTGTTCCTTTCATCCACTGGGGTCGTGGCACGTGTTACTGCGGTGATAGAAAACTAATACAGGGACACTCTCAGCAGGGTGTCCCCCTAAATGGCCGCAGGGATCCTGAATGGCCTCCCCACTCACCTGGCCTCCAGGTCCTTAAAAAGTCTCATGACATAAACCCTGCCCATCCGTAACTCACATGGCCTGGAGCAAAGTCTCCTGTCTTCACCATAACCAAAACTCGCCTCAAAGAGGTCTCCACTTCCAGATATCTGGCTCTTAAGTGTGCTGCTGGGTTAGCAGATGGTGTATCTGATACTGTTTATTATTTCAACTGGATGTGATTGTTTCTCAGGACCCTGAGGCAGCGAGGGCGACCACCCTGCTGCCGAAGTTCCTTGCGTGTCCCTGCCCTGTGGCCTCCAC